TTATGATTAGTGTAGCCCCGTCCTCCATGAGGTGAAGCTGGACCAGGTTGTCATATGCCTCATCTGAGTATAAATTTTTGGAGCATCCAAATACTTATGACAAGAACACCCGGTTTCAGTCATGAGCGAGGGCTAATTGGCACATAAATCCTTTGTTGGGGGTATCTGGACTACACACATACTGAGCAGTGCTGAGCTGTGGGGTCACCATAGCTTGGAATGGTGTTGACTCCGGTGAGGCCCAGCCCAATGAACAATGTGGTAAAACAAGAGCCTTTGGCCTTTGATTAATGTCATGCATAGTTTTTACTACATATAAGTAGATATAAAAATGCTGCTTAAAAGTGTGTTTATGAAGTACTTGTGCTAAAACTTGCACCAGTTTCAAAAAAAAAAAAGCTAATGTGAGTCAATTATGGATGAGCTAAATGTATGAGTACTATATGTAAATTGCTATATCCATGGTTAATATCAAGGTAATTCTTTTCAAATGTGCTGCTTCTTCCCATGTACTCTGGGAGGGCAAGGTCTGACAGAAGACGGGGAAGGGACTGCTATGGGAAAAAGTTGGAGGGAAGCACAAAACAAAGGGGCTACCTGACCCCCAAGATTTATTTTCCCTGCTGTAGCAGTGGGAAGAGGACTAATTCAAGGCAAACCTCGAATAATTAGATTCCATACCTGCAAAATCATAACAAATGTATACCTTTCTGTGTATAGAATCTAATTATTTTGGGGTCATCTTACAATTGGGGCTGTCTTCTATTTCAAGTAAATATGGTAATCCCAATGATACAGAATTATACACAAATACCTCAAGTAGAAATTTGTTCTTTTGCATTCTTTGGAGCTGTAAACAGCTGAGCATCACACCTGCATAACTCAAAAATAACTCCTAACATTAAATGTATCAAGTGGTTAGTGTATAACACAACATAATTGCCTTTGTTTTATAAAATGTATAGATATCCGCATGGAACAATGTTACTTGAAGTGGGATGAAGATGAGTGTATTCAGTCTGTACCTGGCAAATTTCGTATGGATGCCTGCTGCTGTGCTGTTGGTGCTGCTTGGGGCTCAGACTGTGAGGAATGCCCTAAGCCTGGCACCAAAGAATATGAGGCCTTGTGCCCCAGAGGACCTGGATTTTCTAATAGAGGTGACATTCTAACTGGCAGGCCATTTTATAAAGGTAAAGCTTCATTCCTCTCTTACTGGAACTGAAAAGTGCATTTTCTATGCATCTCTTTATATAGGCTCTCATATGCTCTTTAAAGGAAAGCACCAGTGTTTATATATGCAAAATGTTTAGAATTAGAGATACCAATCGTAGCATTAATAATCAAACAATACATTTTACTGAAGAACTAGTTCTTCTTTGTAATTCCCATCTATGACCTTTTGTGATCTTATTGCATGAAGGCAGCAATTTTCTGTGATAGAAAGAAACTGGAATCTCTCTCTTTTGTGCTTTGCCATGACCTGAGCTCTTTCTTGCCCATCTTCTCACTGTGATCCAGGCTCTTTTCCTCTGCCTGAATCTTGCTTGGACATGGACAATCTAATGTCTCTCGTAACTGTAGATTTCCATGTTAGTCAACCTGCCCTCTCTTTGCTTGTATTAGTTCATGTATTCATTCCAACAGCGTGTATGTTATAGACAGGTAGTAAAATACCTGCCTTAAAGAGATGGTAATTTAGGTTAGACATAGCAACTTGAGAGCTGAATAAAGAGTGGTGATCAAGGAGGAGAGAAAGTTAGTAGCTTGATTTTTTCAGGGCTTTAAAGTAAAGGAAAAGAAGCTTGAATTTGATAAGATTTGAAAGGAAGCTAGCAAAGAGCTCTTAGGGATTGACATGTTGAGAAAGACATGAAAGGCAAATTTTGGGAGGGAATATTTTGGACAGAGCAAAGTGTGAGGGTAAGGTGAGAATGTAGGAAGCCAGAGACATTAAGATATAGAGTGCAAGAGATTACTACAAAGTTTCTTGAAATTATGACTGATAAGGGATGTGTGTGTTTTGGAGATCTTGTAGAGGTTAAAACTCACATAATTTAGCAGCAGCATTAGTTTTGGATAAGAAAGGAAAGTGTGTCTAAGATGGTTCTGAAGTTATAAATATTTGTGACTGGAAGGACAGTGGAATTAATGGTGAAAGAAGAAAGCCCCCTTTGTTTAAGTGACTCCGGTTTTCTCCAGAAGCTGAGAGGATTGAAAATTGCTCAAAGGATTAAAGATAAGGACCCAAATAGAGCTTCCCTTTTGGTGAGCATTTTGAGCCATATATGTAGATATTTAGATCCTTCTCCTAACTGAAACTCACTGGATCCTTCCGAGCATGTTATGAGTATCTATCATGAGGCAAAGTTGTGGCCTGGAGATGATGGTTATGCCAGGCTTGTCCAACATACGACCTGGGTGGGTCTGTCCCATCTGGAGCAGCATGCAGCTGAAGCCAGATTCCCACGTGCTGCTGGGGATGTGAGGAGCCTGGCCAGGTCAGCACCAGCCAGCAAAAGTGGCGGGGGGGGGCGGGGGCGGTCACGGGTCCCACTCAGGACTCACCGGCGCAGGCAGGGGCAAAATGCAGCTGAGCCCCTGCTGGTCCGGCTGGGCTCATCCCGTCCTGAGCGGCACATGGCTCCGTCGCCGCTTCTGCTGGCCAGTGTAGACCTGGCCGGGCTCCTCCCATCCCCAGCAGCTCGTTGGAAGCCGGCTTCAGTGGAAGTACCTCCTGTGGCCACTTGCACTCTCTTTGATCCTGTTCTGCCCCACTAAGTTCATAAACTCCATGGAAATTCCAGAATTGTTAGTCACAGAAAAAACATGACCAACTATAGGCAGAAAGAAGAGGGTGAGGAGGAGGAGGGGCCTCACACCTTTTCATGTAATGATTAGGGAGTGGGGGACCCAGGTTTCAATGCCCCCCCTCTGCCAAGAGGGCTTTTGAATCTACATGTATTTCCCAGGCATTGAGTTCACCAGCCCCTTGTTAAAGCTGGCTCAGTGGAGCAGCAACTGTCCCATTGCTCTCTATCCATTTTATCTAATGACTTTTAAATGCAAAATGCAGAAACAGCATTGGAGAGAGAGGCCAGAATTCAGAGCCCCTGCCTTATCAGGGCAGTGCGCATTTTACTAAACCATATTCCCTCTGGCTTGTCCTGCTTCTGGTCCTATATATCTTCTCTTATTGTCTACCCAATGGGACCACTTCAACAAGAAGGATGGAGGAGGGGGCATTAGGCAAAATATTGCTATGTGTTTGGAGGGGGCATGTGTAGCTAGAAGACAAGGGACGATGTAGCCAGTAGGGCTGTGTGGAACTTCAGCAGCCATTTTGTTTTGGAAGTGTTTTGGCCCGTTTCGGCACCCAAAACAATGAATCTGAAACAAAACAGAAGGCTCCGAAACATCTCTGAAACTAAGCGAAACCATCCAAAACGTTTCGGAAATGATTCGGATGTTTCGGAATATTTCGGAGGCGGGCTTGCAGGGAAACAGAAACTCGGAAGAGGGAAAGGGAAGGACTGCTCTGATATTGTCATCTGTAGCTGGCCAGTGTCTGTGATCTGTCCCTGAGGTCCCTTCCAATCCCAGTGCTCTAGGGGAGGGACGGCAGCCTGCTGTCATCCCATGCATGGATCTGGGGACCCACAACCCCAAGGAGGAGTCTGGCATAACCCCACAGCCCTCCCAGGGGGGCACAGGCCCCCAGATCTGTGTGTAGGATGACAGCATGCTGCCACTGCCAGCTGGGGCAGTGCCAGCACCAGTCTACCTGGTGTTCAGCATGGGCTGTGCAGAGTACTGGTCCCAGCTAGTGGTGGCAGCCGGCTGTCATCCTGCGCGCAGATCCAGGGACCCACACCCCCTGGAAAGAGTCTGGCACAGCCCCGCAGCCCTCCTTTTAAAGTGCCAGGAGGCTGGGGCTGGGTGAGAGATGGAGCTGGGTTGGGCAGCCATGGGGGCTTTTCCGCGGCTCCCCCCACACAGCCAGAGGAGCCCTGGGAGAAGCCCCCATGGCTGCTCTGGATGGCCCCATCCCCCGCCCGGCCCCAGCTTCCCCAGTACTTAAAAAAAACAAAACAAAGCCCTGTTACTCACTCTCTGTAGCAGCAGCGACTGGGGCCTCTGAGGGTTCATGGCAGAGACCCCTGTGCAGCACGGGGCAGTAGGGGGCAGCGGGTACCCCTTCCCCCTGCTTGGCACCTGTGCGGCAGCTGCTCTGTGGCACAGGTACAGTGTGGCTCTGTAGGGTGCTGCACATCATCTGGGAGCTGGGGCTGAGCGGTGCTGGGCTCCGGGTAACTACTGGAGCCACCCCAGCTCTCAGATAGCATGGATCGCCCTGCCGAGCCACACTGCATCTGTGCAATGTGACAGCTGCCACATGGGTGCCAAAGGGGAGGGCAGGGGAGTGATCCCCACTGCCCCGTGCTGCACAGGGGGGCTCAGCCACAAGCCCTCAGAGGCCCCAGTCGCTGCTGCTACATCTGATGAGTGTGGGGCTTTTTTTTTTTTCTTTAAATTGCCAGAAGGGTGGGGCCAGGCAGGGAATGGGGCTGGGGAGGGCAGGCATGGGGGGTTCTCCCTGTGCGGCTTCCCCCCCAGCCCAGGGACAGGCAGGCACAGTCGGAGGAGCAGTGGGAGAACCTGCAGCCACCTGGCTGTGCCTGCCTCTCCCCGGTTGATCCGAATCTCCGAAACAGCATCGAAACTCCAAAACAGATTTGGCCTAATCAGAACAGAACAGTGATCCGAAACACTAAAACAAATCACTGTTCCTCCGAAACAGCCGAATCCAAAACAGAAATGAAACATAGCCATTTTGCACAGCCCTAGTAGCCAGGTAATCAATGGAAAATAAAATGATTAAGCCAGTTTTATTCCTCTCAGGAAAAAAATGGTTCCCTCCAAAACACTGAGTACATCCTTTCTTTTCAGATAATTTCATATTTTAGAGACAAGGTGAAATAATTATGAGACTTTTTAAAGTATTGGTTTCTTTTAAATAAGTGTCTACACAGCAAAACTTTTTCCTTCAAATATATTATGTTGCTTGAGGAAATTTGAAGTTCCGCTTTGCCAGTAATCACTGATTTTGAAGTTACTCACCTTGGAGGGAAAATTCAGCTCTTACATTCCATGAAAGTTTGCCTGAACAAGGACTGAAGATTTTTGTCTCTTCGCCTACTTTTTTTTTGCCTACTGTCTTTTCTTGTACACTTTACACCTGCTGGTGTCTCCAGACTACTGTTTTGTCTCATGATGGAAACACCTTAGATAAGGGCATTCATCCAGCAGAATTATACTTTTGAATTATTGTTAAAAGCTCACTGAAAGCTGAATAGGGGCTGCCTGAGACTGACCCGTGTGAGAATATGTAGAGAAGTTGAGACTGACAAGCAGTTTATTGGATAAGCCTTATGCAATATCTTGTTACAGTTACAGGGTTAGTCCTTCATATAATCCAAGGAACTATGTTTTTGTCCCAAAGAAGAAAAAATAAGTAGGACTAGGCTCTTGTCACTTTTCTGCACTAGACAAAATGTAATATGTGTATGTCTGAACACGACTGTGGTGACTGAGAATCTTTAGGAAAGTTTGTCTCTCAAAGAGGTGTAAACTGACCAAGTTACACCTATGCCATATGGCTTCATGTTTCCCGTTACCTAGGTAGTGCTTTACAGGCTCAATTTATGCTATACAGTTTCTTTTTAAGTCTTCCTGAAGGTTTTTTTGCCTTGTTTGGAATTCTGAATCTCATAGTGATAGCTGAAATTCAGTTTCTAGAAAGGGATGACTTTTCAGTGCCTGCAAGAAGCTGTTTCACCCAAGTTTTAGTTAAATTTATGGAGAATATCACAAGATCCTAGTTTGTTCAAATGAAAACATACTGCATAATACCCACAGTGTTGGAAGGAAACTACCTCTCCACCTAGTTTATTGTTAAACAAATAAGTATTCTGTATTCTCTTTTTTTTCCCTA